CAACAACCGATTGTATCCTTGGAATAGAACACTAATCAAACCTCTTGCACTCCGGTGAGGTGGGGAATTCGATTTAAGGAAACCGTGTAAACATGGGCCGTCGGTTTGATTAATATACTTTGATTCTCCAATATTTTCCCAATAAGTTTAAATCGAATTCCTCATTTCGGGAAAGTTTGAGAATCGGTTTTTTTTTTTTCAGTTTGTTTACTGTCCAGTTTGGTTACTGTTTTTTTTCCACCTTCATTTTGTTTGCTGTTTACATAATCTATCTATTTAATTACGCGCAGTAAGTTTATTAGGTTTGAATCAGTAAGTTCGAAGAAATTTTTTTTTTTTTTTAGTTATAGGAAGTTTCCTACACTGCCTGCATTATTTAGTTTTGCATGTAGTGGTTTTGCATGGTTTTACAATCATTGGTAATGATTATTTGACAATTATTAGTTGCATGATTATTTAATTATTGCACAATGATTAGCACGATTGCCTCATCATTAGGATATAATTGTTTATTCTTTCTTTAATGATTGATTTTAATCATTGTTAATTATTTATAATTTTTTTTAAAAAATTATTGCCAAGTTGCTAATAATTTGCCAAAAATAAATTTGTTCTTCAATTTTAAAATTCTTTCGATCAGATTATTCAGATTTTGAATTTATATATACAACTTTCAAATTATACTAAATTATTTGTTGCTTGTTCTCTAGTTAAATGGCGTCACACGGAAATGACGATGTGAACAATGGAAACAACTCTGTTGGGACCGCTGTTAACACTGTGGAGACCTCGACTGGCATTGCTCCAGTTGATGGGATAATTGGAGGCGGGATTCCTCATGTTGGAGTGAACCCCACTTTGCCTATGGCTTCGGCAATCCAATTTGGCACAATACCTTTGCCAGTACCTAGGGCTGCGGCCTCGGTACCTAGGTCTTCGTTTCATAGTATTGAAAGAAGTACCGAGCCATTGAGACTAATCCGCAGTAATGTGTGTGACTTAAAATTTGTCCAAACAAAAGGCGGCAATAAGTACTTTATTACTTTTTTCGATGATAGCACGTGATATTGTTATGTGTACTTGCTTAAAAGCAAAGACGAAGTTATCGATAAATTCATTCTTTATAAAGCTCGGCTAGTAATCAAAGGCTATAAATTCATTATTTATGTCAGATTCAAAATCTACTAGTGGAAATGTCTTCACTCTTGGTGGTGCAGCTGTCTCTAGGAAATCGTCAAAACAATCTTGCATCGCAAGAGCTACAATGGAATCAGAGTTCATCGCTTTGGACAAAGTAACAGAAGAAGCAGAGTGGCTTAGCCAGTTTGTTGAGGATTTGCCAAGATGGTCAAAGCCTGTGCGGCTGTGCCTGCAATTTGTGTTTATTGTGATAATCAATCAGCAATTGGTAGGGCACAGAGCAATATGTATAACGGTAAGTCTCGACATATTCAAAGACGACATAATACCATTCGACAATTACTCTCACAAGGTATTATCACTCTAGACTACGTGAAGTCAAAAGATAATATTGCGGATCCGCTAACCAAATGGTTAACTCGAGAGCTAGTTGAAAAAGCATCGAGGGGAGTGGGCTTGCAGCCTATGACATTGAAAGGTATCATTGTGGAAACCCAACCTAGCTGAATGGAGATCCCAGAATCTAGGTTCAAAGGGACAACTAAACCATGTATATCTGTGTAAATCACTGAGAAGGTTCTCCTTATGCTCATTCCTATGGTACTCACAGTGATTGGAAGATGCAGGTTAAGTTACGCTTTTAATGACCCTTAAGCGTTTGTTGTGAAATGCTGAGTTAAGAATCACCTATGTGAGTGTGGAGTAGGGCCACTTCTATAAGGATTGAGAATGCTACATCCTTGAACAAACACTTGCAGAACCAGGCGACGTGTTCATGGCCAAAATGAACACAACATTGAGAACTAAGCTGTGTCTAGAATGGTCTTGTGTGAGGTCTATTGTCTTGGTTTACACAAATGACGAAACAGTTCAAGGCATCATATCCACTGGTTTGCTAGTAATACTCGATAGATTTCCACAAGGGAAGGTTCAAAGCTAAATGCTACCTATCCTATGCAGGATTGATTCGTTTTACTCTCTCTTTCTCTCTTTAATCTTTGTTATCCAAAATTTTCATTCATGTAGGGGATTGTTGGAAATATTGAATGAAAATATTAGTTACAAATATCTCTTTAATGTTTAACTCCTCATTCAAGTAACTCCTCTCTTCAATGCTTAACTCCTCGTCTAAGTAACTCCTCACTCAATGCATTAAAGAGATGACTCCTCTTTTATGAGTATAAATAGAAGAGCTCTCAATAGAGAAAAAAACAACAAGGGAAAAAAAAAAACGAGCTTTTCTTCTAAGCTTCTAGCATAAAATTTCTTTTTTCCGGTTTTGTTCCTTTCCTTCATTTGCGAAAGTTCTTTGAGTGATAAACATAGCTAGTTCGTAGGCGGTTAACGTAGTGCAGCGTGAACCGACAACCGATTGTATCCTGAGAATCGAACACCGATCAAACCTCTTGCACTTCGGTGAGGCGAGGAATTCGACTTAAGAAAACCGTGTAAACATGAGCCTTCGGTTTGATTAATATACTTTGATTCTCCAATATTTTCCCAACAAGCCGTAAGTTATAACTTTTGGACAAAGCAGTGACAATACCCTACATCAGTATATGGTACTATAAGGCTTTCATAATTGATTCAACGAGGTTTTTGTGCCTAGTTTCCTGGTATTTTTAGAAATCAACATATACTATAAGGTGATACACACGAAATCCAATTGGAGCCAATGAGGCTTCGATTGCGTATTCGTTTGTTAATCGTTTTATGCTTCTGCCTCATCAATCGGTATCAAAGTTGGAGATCCTGGTGTTCGAGTTGATGCTGGAGTATTTTTGTGGAGTGGGTAGATTATGCAAGAGCATGCTTGAAATGGGGTGGCTGATGGACTGGGCTTTTAGTAGATTCTTGGGCTTGATTCCGGGTGAAATGGAGTGGATTTTATTTGTGCCATGAGTTATAGATTTTGGGCAAAGTGGGGGCAATACCTCATCAGTGTCTTTCAAAATTGATGTTCTGAGAATTGAGTAGCATCTTGCAACTCTTTGAATTTGATTAGGTCGTCGTTGTTTGCTTTCGCACTCATTGTACTTGCCTTTCAATTAGCTTCTTGACTTGCAGTCATTCTTTTGGTCTATATATTCTTGTTCAACCGGTTCTTTTTGTCTTGGAGTTGAATGACATACTTTTCTGTAAACTCATGCAATTTTTAGTCAACTTTTCTGCCCTCCTTTTTACCAAGCATTCTTGCGAATCACACTTATTTTGCTGGTTGTTGACTTCTTACTGTATAAACACATCAGCACCTCAGTTATTTACCAAGTCAGTTGAATGGTAATCAGGTACCGAGTAATTGAAATACTTGCTTGTGGTGGTTGTGCATTGGTGGAATGGAGGCTAGAAACTGGACGCACTCATCAGGTATGGTATTTGGTGGTCATCATATGTTAGTACACTGTTCCATTTTATGGATAGAGGTCTCTAAGCTTAGAATTTATGCTGAAAATCCTCTATAAACTATTTCAACTTGCACTCTTTAACTATTTAAACATTATATGTGTCCTGCTGCATGTGTACCATAGACCTTAGTCTGTTGGGTTGCATCTTGAATTCAGTGTCTAGATTCATCAGACTTCTAAGAAGGTTTTCTTTTATTATTATTATTATATGTCAATGTGCTCAGAGATGACATTTGTTATAGTGAGGGAGCCATACACTGCTTGTTAACTTACTTTTCTCAGTGTAGACATTAGAAACCTGCTGAACTTGTGGGTAGTCTCATTCTGTATTCCTTTAATTTATAGGGAGAATGCTTCTGGATTTAACACACGTTGCAGTTTTCTGCATTATTGCCACTACATACATGGTATATGATGACACCAATTGCTGTTTTGAATTAGATTCGTGCCCATGCAAAGTATCTTGGTGTGCCGCTCTTGGGAGATGAGGTGTATGGAGGAACTAAGAGTATGGCCCTCTCATTGCTTCAGTCAAGGAATCCATCTAGTTTTCACGGGCAATTTGCGGAACTTGTTGCTAGCATAGAAAGACCCTGCCTCCATGCTTTAAGTCTCGGGTAGGGCTACGCCTGCTACTTTATGTCTTAATAGATATTCCATGATATGGTATAATTTCTGCATATTTTGTTTTCAGGTTTCGACATCCAAACACAGGCGAAAACTTACATTTCTCAAAGCTACCACCTGCTGATTTTGCTGAGATTTTTGGCCAGCTTCGTGATATTAGCACAGAGAAGGTAACTCGTTCAGTGTCAAATCAATTTCAATTATATAAGCAAATGGATTAGTAAATTCTCCTTGGATCAATAAGTTTTACAAGGATACAAGGCTAGTGAAGTACTGGTCTTACCATCTCCGGTGCTTTGACAAAATGCTAGTGCATATGCCAATTCAGTTTCGAACTTTCATTGTGCATCCAAAAGTTGATATATGTTTCAATCATAACAATCTTTTCTTCATTAACCTCCTAGTATTGTTCATGCTGATGCAGAATCGAAGATGTAGAAAGATAGGTTTAATTAGTTAACATGGATATTGATATTTCGTTATGTTTATGATTTACTGAAGTTCCCTCAAGTTCTTTTCACTTAAAAAGGGAAAGTAAGGGCTTCAATATTTGCATAGATTATTAGACTATTGACCAGGCAATTTGGTTTTTGTCAAGATATTCCTTCTAATCTGAAGAAAGAATCATTGACTATTGAGTTATACAATTTTTCCTTCTCTCCTTTCTCTTCTCTCTCTCCCGTTGTGTATCACATACTTTTCTTGTCATATGATTTGATCATCTGTATGACAGTTCGTCTACATGTCCAGGTCACCTAGCCAACCAGTGTTCAAGAAAATATGGTTTGATTGAGTTCTCGGCAGCGTTATAGAAAAATAATTTTTACGTTGCTGGACAGTTCACCCGAAGCACGGTTCTTCATTTAGAGAAAGAGGTGAAGCACTGAGACATTCAGTTATGATAGGGTGCAGTCGCATTCGTGGGGCGGGAGATGCTTTATTTAATGTATGCTTCAATGTCAGGAAAACAAATACAGTTGCAATCACCATACCTATTTACATGGTTTTCAGTTTGTGCTATGGCAAGGATTATTGATAAATGAAAGGTCAAATGAACTTTCAAGGAGAAAATGTCATCTGTTTTATTCTGTTTCTGGAACTGAAATTGGTTTCAAGTGAGAACCCGAATTTGATTCTCTATTTATTGTATCATTTTTTCTGCCCTGCCCTTGTATTTATATAATTCTTTTTGTTACTATATTAAATAAGTTTATACAGTGCAGTTTGTTTTCATTGGTAGATCGACCATATAATGATATTGATCTTGTTTGTTGTTGTACTTCAACTTAGAAAATTATTAGAGGTAATGTTTGGTCTCACAGACTTGACAATACTTCATAATAACATGTATCTAGTTATGATGAGTTCAAATCATAAAGTAAATACTGAGGTTTAATTTAATAGTTCTGTTTGATTTACTTAGAGATTATTCTAACCATTGTATGGCATAATTGCTATGCCGGGTTTCACCTTCTTCAAAAAAGAAATAAAATTTTTGACTAAAAGAACATATCCTTGCAGAAATGAACTGAATCAAGTTTTAGAAGAGAGTTGTAAGAATAACCCATCAAGACATATCTAATCCAGTATACATTTGAACCATTATGTTTGGACCTTATAAAGAATGATCGAATACATCAGCAATATTCCAATAACTTATATCAAAATAATTTACAGAATAAAAAAGATCAAGAAAAAGAAAACGCAAAACTAAAGCTATGCTTGATTTTCTTGGCTACAAACTCTCCTGTATTCCAGCAACTAAGTTATATTTGCCCACAGAAAACTTCTTTTATTACAGCTGAAGAAGCAAACCTTTTTACTGTAACGCTAGTCAGAAAGATACATAAGCCTATCAAAATTTAAATCAGCACATCATCTGTAAATCGTATCTGTATTGCTTGAGAAATCATCCTCCGAATATTTGATTCCTGCAAGAATTTTTTTTTTAAAAGCTCAATGCAATATCTCCATGATGTGTTGGAGTTAACAGTTATTAGGTAAATGCAATGAGATTGCACATCCAAGTTTTATCAAGTGGAAATCACAAGAACAATGCATGATTCCAATATGCACCTGATAGGTACTTTGTGGGATATACACGAGAAAAAGAGAGTTGTCTGAGCATTCAAGGCAGGTTCACGTGGGTTCTAAGCAAAACGAATAGCAGTGAACTCAATTTAAGCAAAGGCAACGAGGCATAAACAGTTCGGCAACGAGGGTCATTTGCTGAGTTCTGGGCTTTTTGATCTGGACCACTGGTTTTATTTTGGCTTGACATGCTTCTTGATATTTTGGCATTCGAAACTTCTTCAAGGAAGCTACAAAGTATTCCTCGGGCAGCTAAACCCACCCTCACAATTTTATGGTAAAAAGAAGATAGAATTTCTGATTACGAAATCTAAGTTGAAAATTACGTGAGCACTCATTTTACCACTGTTGGTGGTGAAATTAACTGAAAATTGCTGCAATTTCAAAAGTTGGTTTTGGAGATTTTTCACTAAAATGTAATATTCGATTCATTTCCTTGAAGAACCCTTGCTCCAAGGCATGTTTTATTAACTATGCTACCGAGATAAATAACAAGAAGAATACCATATTTACCTAGATTATGAACTTCCTCAGAGGCCTTAAAATTTCTGTCTTATATGTATGCTAGCCTCTTGTATAGAAACACCTATATTGGATCCAAATTTCAAGAAAAGAAGTCTTGGGATCAAGACCATAACATGAAGGGAAGAGGAAACACTAGCATCTTCCTACATTGTAAATACTATGTTAGTTGCCTTCTTTTCTCCATGGGGTGCAGGAGCTAAAGAGAATGCAAACAAAAAAGGAAGAAAAGACGAATACAAGATGATTAAGCAGAGCTACCTTAGATTGTTTTAGACAATGTATTCACCCACATGCATCCACTTTGTAGATGACCACTTGTTCCCTCTGATGACAGGGCAACCACCTGGTATCAAATTGTAAGATGTGATGCTTAGGAACTCAAAATTAAGATACTGTCAAATGATTATAAAGTAGCTACTAGCTCAAACAAACTCAATTCTTTTGGGGATAA